CATTCGAAATGAAGGTCCCCCTAACAATGTTATCTCAGGAGATTCATCGAAACCAAGTTTCTCTTTGTATAGTCTGGCATAAAACTCTTCCCATGGATAACAAGATAGTAAACTTGAGATGTAAAACATCTTGACACCGATTCAGAAACCATTTATAAAGCTCACACCAAAAACAATGGCTTCAAGACTGGGCGCAATGTTTACTCACTTAAGTCGTATTCTCAATTTCTAATAAAATGTGAAGCGTTTCTACTTTAAGCATTTTTAGCTTAAGCGGAAATGAACAGGATGAAAAAGTAAAATCGAAAATAGATTAATGTTAAGGTGGTTCAGAAAGCACGATTACTAAAAGGATCTAGCAAACACGACAAAAAATGAAATTAGGGCGTCTGGTAAAATAAAGTAAAAGCTCAGAGTTAGTTTACCTGATAGTCGACGGGTATCAGTGGGTGATGAGGCGGAAAGGCACGAGTAGAACCCTTACGATGAACAAGAAGAGTTTTGATTTTTCCATCAACCCAATGCTCCTCCACTTTGGCAATATTGTGGGAGACGTCGTAGATAATGTGCATGTCTAAATCATCAGGTGTGGATTGGAAAAGCTTTGCAAAGGCCTAGATACAACAGCCGAAATAAACATATGAAGATAAAATAGACAAATCCAGGAAGAGAAAAAAGAATATTTACATATGGCTCGGGTTACAAAAGAAAGGCGGATAATAAAATCACAAATGAGAAGTTAAAAGATAATTTTCCAGGTTGAATAAAATTATGAATGCCAAGTGTAGGTGATGAAGAATAAGATACATGTAATGACGTGTCTCCTAAAGCTTTTAGTTAAGAATAAAAAATATCGAAACGTGCCAAGTGCCTTATTTACCTGTCTCGTGAGAAAGGTCATAGAGGACCGATTTACCCAAGCGTAATTTGCTGCTGCTGCCATGCCCTTCAAATAGTCCTGCCCCTCCTCGGAGCGGATGTGGGCACAGGCAAGTTGCCTGTCATTTACTTCAATGTTGTCTCGCTTCATTGCACGCTCCATAGCCACTAAGGCATCAGTGGCAACCTGAACAAATGCAGGACAAGATGTATTTGTGAAAATAATAAAGAAAGGAGCTAAGGGCGTTAA